ATAAATAAATAAAAGAAAAAGAAAATAAGGAAAAAAAAAGAAATAAAAAAAAAAAGTAATAATAAAAAAATTATTACTTTTAAATTTTTTTTTTGAAAATTAAAAAATAAAAAATAATATATTAAGATATCTACTAAAATAAAATTTTCTTTTTTTTTTGTTTTTTTGTTTTTTTTTTTAATTAAAAAATAAGCTAAAGGTATAACTTATAAATATAATATATATTTATTTAATTATTTTTACAATTATTGGTTTTTGTAAAATTTTATTACAATAATTTATATAGATTATTGTAATTTAAACTACTATTAATATTCAAAATAATAATTGTTAAATTATTATTCTTTTAATTTTTATTGAGCTATTGGTATTATTATTATTATTATTATTATTATTATAATTATTAATTATTATTTTGTCATGTAAGGTATATTAGAAAATATTTTTTAATCTTTTCTAACTTTTATTGAATAAGGTGAATCTTTTGAGGAAATTATATCAGAACTGGAAGAAGAGGATGAAATATTACTTGGTGTTAATGAGGATGACGAGGTTGAGTTTGATTTGATTACTAATACAATATCTCTAGAAGATTCAATTTGTTTTTGATTATTATTTGAATTTATAGATTCAATTACATTGTTTGAGGATGAAATTGAAATAGTTGAACGATTAAAGATTGTAGGATTTGAAGAACCTAAAACCTTTTTGCTGATAAATGTCAAAATGACAGCTACAACGATTGCAATAATTAATAAAGTTCTTTGATATGATGAAAATGCAGTTTGGTGACCATTTGTAATATCGGGTAATTTGTTTGATGGTCGATCCTAAATATGCTATTAATAAATTCTCTGGTAATAGTCCAATAACAGAAGAGTAAATAAACTTTGTGTATGAAATTCTTGTTGCCTAGAGTAAATAAATAAAGTTTGTTAATAATCGCCACATTGATGTGAATGAATATTTGTGTAATTGTACTTACTGCACATAACCCATTTTGTAGACCAAATGGTATTGGGAGTAGTCTCATAATTATAATAATCTTGAATGGATGTTGTTCGACTTTGTTTCTTAGGGCAGATAGTTTTGGTGATGATTCTATTTTTGATTCGAACCATTTTAAGATTACCTTTCTTGTAGTCCAAAAGCCAAAACTAGCAGATATGGCACTACCAATCGCAACAGTAATAAAACCAGGTACAAAACCATATATAAAGCCTGCAGATAATGTCAATGGAATATAAATACTAAAAATGGCCAATGGTATTCCAGTTGGTAAATAAGCTACACCCAAAATTACATTACCAAAATAACCCAATTCTTTGACAAACTCGAGAAATGATGCAAAATTTTTTGAAAAATAAAAGATACAGGCAAATATTATAATTAATGAAAATATAAATGCTAATGTGAATGATAATGTTGAACTATTATTATTATTGTTATTAATATTGGTATTGTTGTTATTTGTTATATTGTTATTGATTAGTTGGGTACTACTATTCTCCTCGATGTTGCTGCTACTACTATTTACACTTTCATAATCATCTTCGTTATCTTCATTGTCTTCATCATTTATACTATGCTTTAGTGAATCTGGTGATGATTTTTTCCCTTTTTTCTTTAAACTATTATTGAAATTAATTGAATGATGTCCTTCATATTCTTCATAATCATCATCACTATTATATTCTTTATTCACAAATTTTAATTGTTGTTCATTGTTGTCAATACTATTATTATCATTACTGTTACTAATGGTGATATTATTATTATAAATATTACTATTGTTACTGTGATTATTGTTATTAATTTTTAAACTATTATCTATATTGTTGTCCATTATAGTATCTTTAATATTACTAGTATCATTATTAATATTACTTGTGTTGGTAGTATTCTCCTCATCAAATCCAGTGCCTGCTGTTGATGCTAATGGTATGAATTTAATTTTATTTTTTGGATGAAAATGTATTGTATTTGAGGACGAATTTATATTCATATTATATTACTATTAATTATATTATCTTCTTTTTCTCTTTTTTTATTATTGGTTTTTTTTTTTTTTTTTTTTTTTTTTTTAAATTTATTTTTTAATTATTATTGGGTACATAAGATTGAAAAATAAAAAATAAATTTAAAATTTTTTTTATAGAAGGATTAAATTAATTTTATTTTATGTTTATTATTATGTGTTTATTTTTGCTATAATAATAATGTCTAAAAGATAAAATTTAAAAAAAAAAAAAAAAAAACAATATTGAGTGCTATCTAACGAACAAAAAAAAAAATGAAAAATTTAAAAAAAAATTTTTTAAAAAAAAATAAAAATAAAAATGGCAATATTAAAAATAATATTAACCAAAAAATAAACAAAATTATATCAGAGATTTTATTTTTAAAGAATATTTTTGAAATATTTAGAAATAAAATGTAAATATTAAATGCTATATCTATTTATGTGTATATTATTATAATGATTTTTATTTCGAAAAAATAAAAATAAATAAAAAAATAGTTATCCAGTGCACCAAAAAAATTTTAATTTTTTTTAAATTTTTTATTTTAAATCTTTTAAAATATTTTTTTTTTATTTTTTTTTATTTTTAATAATTTAATTATAAATTAAAAAAAGAAGGAATATAATAATAATAATAATAATAATATAAGCTCATTGTATATATATATATAAAAAACAAAATTATATCAATAGTTAGTATAATTATTTTTTTTTTAACTTTATTATTTTTTATTAAACAAAAAAGTTATAATAAAAAGATGATATCAACAGAATCATCTGGAGCAGATACTTCACAGCAGAAGCACTGTGAAGATGAATCTTCAGTGAGAAATAATAATGTTAATAATCAAAACAGTATACCAGCTAAAAAGAACGATCATCTACATCAAGGTTCCAATGGCATGTTTACAATGAACGAATACAAAACCTTAGCAATTATTTGCGATACAATATTTTCAGATGACTCACAAGAATTCGAACAGAGCGTTCAGGGTGAAACTGACAACCCAAAGCATTTAAATTCACTTAAAGATTATTTTAAAAGGTATTAATATTGATTTTAAAACTTTATATATAAAAATTATATTAAATAATTATTAAATAATTGTAAAAAAATTAATTATTTTTTATTGTTTTTTTTTTTTTTAATATATTTTAGAAAATCATCTGATTTAGATTTAGCGGGTGAATTTTTAAAATTACTTTCAAAGACAAGATCATCAACACAAATTAGTGATTTCAAGACTTTATTATACTTATTTTCAGCAAAAGGTGCGGGTTTTATATTGACAGGTTCACTAAATAATTTTACAGGTTTAAACTTAAAGACTAGACAATCTATATTATCAATGATGAAAACCTCAAACAATCCAATTCGAAGACAAGCCTATAAAGCAATTGTGCCATTGGCTATTAGTTTGTTTTATACAATAATTCCACCAAGCAATGATGGCAATCCAAATTGGGATGCAGTGAACTATATTGGACCAACCTCTGCAGAGCAAATACCAGGCGAAGAAAAGTTATCATTTATAAAAATTACAAGCGAAACTTCATTGAAAGCTGATGTCGTTGTAATTGGTAGTGGTGCCGGTGGTGGTGTAACAGCTGCTCTTTTATCTCAAGCTGGTTATAAGGTTATCGTTATGGAGAAGGGTAGTTATGTATCATCAAACAATATGACGTGGAAAGAAGGTGAAGCTTTCCCATTAATGTACGAACAAGCAGGAACTCTTACTTCAGATGATCTTAGTGTCAATATTTTAGCTGGCAGCTGCTTGGGTGGTGGAACAACTGTTAATTGGACCGCCTCAATTAGAACACCCGAGCCAATTTTAGAAGAGTGGAGGAAACAATGCCCAAATACATTTAGCTCTGCTAAATTTAATCAAGCAATGGATAGTGTATCTGAAAGACTATCAGTCACTACAAACTATAGCACCGGTCATCACAACAAAAACAATTTAATTTTAGAACAGGCACTTCTTGATTTACAAGATGAGCCTGCACCAATCCCAAGAAATGTTAAAAATTGTGACACTACACAATGTGGAAGTTGCTCAATGGGTTGTCGTTCAAAGTCTAAACAATCATCGATGGTAACCTATTTAGAAGATTGTTGCTCTAATGGTGGTCAAATTATTACAAACTGTCAAGCCGAACAAATTACCTATACTGATTCTCCACAAGGTCAAACTGTTCATGGTGTTATAGGTTTTGTTACTACACCTGATGGTGTAAAGTTTAGAGTATTCATCAAAACCCATATTGTCGTCTGTGCAGCAGGCGCTATTCACACACCAGCATTGCTTTTAAAGAGTTCTATAAAAAATTCAAATATTGGTAATAATTTATACCTTCACCCAGCTATACCAGTCATTGCAGGACATGATGAAATCATCGATCTTTATAAAGGCCCTCCAATGACAATTATAGGTAGAAAATTTCAAAAAATAAATCCAACCAACAATAAACTTGGTGGAGCAATAATAGAGTGTCCAAATGCACATTTAGGTGTAGCATCGTCAGTATGTTCATTCTTTTGGGATAAATCATTTTCATTTAAGAAGGAGTTGCTAGATATCAATAAATTCAGTTCATTCATTACAATTCTTAGGGATACAACACCTGGTAAAATTCGATTAGATAAAGATGGAAGAACACCAAAAATTATTTATAAACTATCAAATCAAGATTGGAAGAGTTCAATGATCGCTGCAGAGGCTTCATTCCGTTCATTAATGAAAATGGGTGCTAAAAAAGCTGCAATTCCCGTGAATGGTTTGGAACCATGCACATCAATTGACCAAATAGAATCATATATTAAATCACTCAGATCAATTGGTTATAAACCAAACCAAGCTATCGTATTAAGTGCCCACCAAATGGGTTCTTGCAGAATGGGTTCAAATCGTTCAAACTCTGTTGTAAACGAAAATGGTGAATCGTGGGATGTAAAAAGATTATTTATAGCAGACGGATCTGTTCTTCCCTCATCTGTTGGTATTAACCCAATGATAACTATTTATTCAGTATCTCATATTATTGCAAATCAAATTATTCAACTATATCCACCAACAAATATTAATATAACTTATGAAAGAGAAAATTAAATTAATTCAATTTCAACTTTAATTTAATTTATTTTAATTTTCAATTTCAATCTCAACCTCATTTTCAATAAATGGCCCAAAAAAAAAAAATGTAGTAATAGTAAAGATAAAAAATAATGTAAATATCATATATAATAAAAATAAATAAATAAATTAATTAATTCAAAATGTAAAATAAATAAAAAAATAAAAAATTATTTTTTAATTTTCTAAATAACTTTTTTTTAATTTAATTTTATCAAATATGAAATGACACACAATTATTTAATCATTTTAAGAAATTGTATAAATAACTGAACTATCAAAAAAATAATAAAAAAAAAATCCTTTAAAATAAAATTAAAAAAATAAAAAATAAAATAAAATTAAAATTGAAAAAAAAAATTTTTAAAAAAAAATTTAAAAAAAAAAAGAAATTTTTTAAAAAACTATTTTTCATATTTTTCGTATCTACCGAGTATTTGTTGATCATTTTTATTATAGTTTATATATATCCTTTATATAGCTTTGTTTACTTTAATTATTTAGTTCATCAATAAAACTATAACCAAAATATTAAAAAAGAAAAGAAAAGTATGTTTAAAATAAAACAATAAATAACAAATTATAAATTGGTTATAGAACGACAATAATGTTCTAGCTTCAACAAACTATACATAGATTATAGCAATAAATGGTTTTTAAATTTCATTAAACTATATAATAGTAATAATAATAATAATAAAATAGTATTTATAAAAATTATAATGGCACTAATAATTAACAATAAAGTGGAAACAAAATCGAAATATTGAATGTTTAATAGCTTATTTATATTAAAATAAAACACCAAAAAACACCACCACACTTAAAAAACAAACAAATACAGATAAAAAACAAATAAATAAAAAAATAATTATTTTTAATTTTTATTTTTTTTTTATATTTTTTTTTTAAAATTAAAAATAATATTAGAAATTAAAGATCTTTGTGTTTATTCATTAGCAAAAAAATAGAAACAAAACAACAACAATATTAATAAACATAATAATACACATAATATTATAAAATATTTATTTCAAAAATAACCAATACAATAATATTAAAGTTTTTTTTTTTTGTATGATAACCTTTTTTTTAACAAAATTTTTTCTTTAAAACTTTTAGATCTAGGTTTTTTATAATAATACAAATTTGTAAAATAATAATAAAATAGAAATAATAATAATAATATAGAAAGATAAAGAAAATGTCAACAACTACACCAACTACAGCTACTACATCATCATCAAAATCACCATGGGTATCATTTTTCAGTGGTGGTATGGCTGGTGTTACTGCAAAATCAGCTATTGCTCCCCTTGAAAGAGTTAAAATTTTATATCAAGTAAATAGTCATCATTAAATTATATTACAATCACACTACACATTACATCGTTTGCAGAACAAATAATTAATAACTTTTTTATAACCTATTTATCTAGATTAAAAGTGAATTATATTCAATAAATTCAATTTTTGGATCAATCAGTAAAATTGTTGAAAATGAAGGTATTAAAGGTTTATGGAGAGGTAATTCAGCAACTATTTTAAGAGTATTCCCATATGCAGCTGTTCAATTTCTTTCATATGATTCAATTAGAAAACATTTAATCACCGATCAAAAATCATCATTCCAATCATTTTTAGCTGGTAGTAGTGCAGGTGGTATCTCTGTTATAGCAACTTACCCATTAGATCTTACTCGTGCTAGATTAGCAATTGAAATCGATAGAACCAAATATAATAAACCACATCAATTATTAATTAAAACTTTTAGAGCTGAAGGCTTTAAAGGAATATATAGAGGTATTCAGCCAACTTTAATAGTAAAGTATCATTTATTTAGGGACCAATTACAAAAAGAAAAGAAAAGCAAAATCAAATATTAATCTATTTTTTATTTTAGGGTATTCTTCCATATGGTGGTTTTAGTTTTTCAACTTTTGAATATTTAAAAAAGAACGCACCAGCTCAATTTGTTGATGAAAATGGTTCAATCAATGGTACATATAAATTAGTTGCAGGTGGTGTTGCAGGTGGTGTTGCTCAAACTGTTAGTTATCCATTAGATACTGTCAGAAGAAGAATGCAAACTCATGGCTTTGGTGATGCTAAAGCCGAAATCAATTTAGAACATGGTACACTAAGATCAATTTACAACATTTTCAAAAATGAAGGTATTTTCGCTTTATATAAAGGTTTAAGTATAAATTACATAAAGGTTATTCCAACTACATCAATTGCTTTCTACTCTTACGAATTCTTTTCTGGAATATTATCCAAAGGCATTTAAATAAAATATAAATAAAAAACAAAAAAAAATAAAATAAATTAAATTAACATTATACAACCATACTATTACATTTTATTATATAATTTTAGTATAAAATAATTTGTGTATTTATAAAAAAAACAAAAAATTTTAAAAGTATTTTATTAAACCATATTTAATTGGGTAAAATTTATTTACCGCCACCTCCTAAGCTCATTAAGCCTCTGGTGACAAGTAAACCTGCAGCATTTCCAAAACCGGTCAATCTACAAACTTCATTTGCATCTTCATCGCAAATCATAAAGAAATATTCGCTGACAAAATGTTTTAAACCGATATCATTTCCGGTCATGAATGGAATTAATTTTGAACTAACACCTGTAGTCTTAACTTCTTCTGGTGGCCTAAAGAAAAGTGAATAGAATTAGTATTTATAAATTTAGTTTAAATAGGAAAAATAATAATAATACTTACTCGATACCAACTGATAATGGTTCATCACTATCTTTAATTAAATCGTATGGGAATGTCATAGCTTTTAATTCGTCACGGGTTGATGGTACATTCTCGGCGGTGCTGGTTAATAACATTAAGATTGGTAAAAATTGAGCAGCGGTTTCTGGAGAGTCTAAAAGGTAGAGTTGCTTTTTAAAGATATCTTGGAAAATGTGTAAACCAATTTCGTCGATTAATTCATCATAGAGATCTCTTGGTGTATTAATGAGAGCAGAGAGTAAAGCGGTTTTGACGGCAAAAAATGGATGGGTTGTCTCTGGAGTATTTGTAACCATAATTCTCTTAAAGGTTGGTAATAATTTTCTAAAACCTTCAATTTCTAAATGGTTAGCTGGAGTTGGCTTGCCACCTTCCAATGGACCTAAGTGGATGGTGAGAGTGAACAATAATCTGCAAAGATCTGATACAAGCTCTGGTGAGCTTTCATATTTTTGTGTATCAGCTACTCTGGTTATAAGTGCCTCTGTGACATATTCCAATAATCCCTCTGGTCTAAGCTTAGCCTTGACTTCTGGTTTTGAACAACAATGAACTAAAATCTTGTAGATTACATCTAAAACTGAATCTGGTGTTTCTTTAGAGTGGTTTTTGACTTCCTTGGTTAATAAATATGGTCCCTTTAAATCCTCTAAAAATATTTTTTGAATACTTGGGTCTCTACTAATACAATTGACAATGCACTTTAATGCCTCTTCCCTAACTGAATTACTGTACATATTGGTTTTTTCCTCTTCTCCAATATTACCTAATTTAATAAATAAATATAATTCCTAAAAAAAAAAATTAATATTATTAATTTCCTTTTCTTTGTTTTTTTCCTTTAAATCCTAAATATTTAAAATACCTTTCTAATGATATCTTTTTCTTCTTCTAATAACTCTCTTAATGAAATTCTTAATGCTGTTAAAACTTGAGTTTTAGATTCATCAGATGGTTTGTTTGAGACTGATGGATTAAATTCTGTTTTTAAATAAAAGAATAAATTATTTGTAAATTTAAATTTGGTTTCAGCTGATACTCTATCTGTAAATATCCTTTTATCTGCATTCTCTTTATTAAATTGCTTTAATGTTTCGATCCATTCGCTTTCTTGAACATCATTATCTTCGAATTGTTTATTAAATGTCTCCATCTATATAATATTTTATAGGTATAATACAATATTTGAATAATTTATCTGTGTGTGTGAAATTATTGTGTTGTTTATAAAATAAATATAGTATTTTAAAAAAATAAAAATAAAAAATATTTAAAATTTTAAAAGAAAAAAAAAAAAAATATTTTTTTTAAATTTATTTTTTTTATTTTTTTTTAAATTAATTTTTTTGTTTTCTTTTAAAACTAAATTAAATTACCTAATCTATATTTATCTTCTAAAAATACAATTTATTAAATTAATTTAATAAAACCAATCATATAATATAAAAGATGGGATTTTAGATATTGACAACAAAATTATCAATCAAAAACAATTCAAAGAAATTTAAAAATAATTTTTTTTTTTTTTTTAATTTATGAACATTAAAAAAAAAATATCCTATTTATTTTACTTTTTCTTCTTTTTATTTTTTTTTATTTTATTTTTAAGTTTATAATTATTTTTTTAAAATGGCAGAAATAGAGGAAGATATAATTAAAATGACAGAAATAGAAGAAGATAGAATAACAAAAAAGAAAAGATTAAACTCGCAAAATAAACCACAACTTTATGCATCAAATATTATTTATGGGGGTAGAGTATTGTTATCAGATAAATTCGTTTAATTTTTATGATTTAACATCTTTTTTTCTTTTTATAGGTTTATTACTAGCATCACCATTTTGGGGGTCTGCTGGACTACTGGCAACATGTATGATGAATGATTCTGATCATTACAATCAAAGATTTCAATTTGTTTCATTTTTGTCTTTAGTTTCAACCCCAGTATCATTAGTATATACTCTGTACCATAATAATTATTATGGCTATAACAAAAAAATTACAATGTACCCCATTATATCAGTATTATCATATATTTCATTCTCTACTTTATTTTTTCATGATAAAAAAAAAATTGAAATTAGTGATGATAAAAATGAAAATTTGTAATTGTATTCTAATCAAATGGCCAAATAAATAAATAATTTATTAAATTTGATTTTATTTAATTTTGTTTCTTAAATAATTTTATTCAAATAAAAACAAAAAGTTTTATTTTTAATTTTTTCTTAAAAAAAAAAAAAAAAAAAAAAATATTTTACAAAAAAAAATAAGAAATTTAATTTCTTTATTTAAACACAAATCTTTTTTTTTATTTTAATTTTATCTCTATTTGTTTTTATCTTTTTTTTTTTATTTTATTTTTTTCGTTTTTTATTTTATTTTTTATTTTTTTTTTTATTTTTTTTCAAAATTTTTTAAAATTTTTTTTTTATGATTAATCATTTTTTTTATATTATTGCATTACATTCATTTGGATAAATTAATATTGCAAAATGGCCAGAAGAAGCTCATTATTTACAAGATCTAAAATGATTAGATATTTTAAATTTATGGAAAAGTTTGCAATTGGTGCACTTTTAATTGGTTCAGTTGCTTATTATACTCAAATTAAAAACATCGAAGACAAAGAAAAAGAAAAGTTTTTATCAAAATATACCAAAAATACAGAAACCACCACTACTACTGCCACCCCAGCAACAACCCCTGTAACCAAACAATAAAATACCAAATCATTTTTTTAAAAATAATAATAATCAAAATTTAAAATTTTAAACAATATATAAATAATAATAATAATAATAATAAAGCAACCAACAAACATCCCTTTTTTTTCTTGAATAGTTTTGGTAAATCAAAAAAAGAAATAAAAATAATTGTAAATAATAAACAAATAATATAAAATTAAGATATTTAATTTAAAAAAAAAAAAGAAATTAACCTTTTCTTTTTTGTAAAAAAAAAAAATCTTAATAAAGTGTATCATTTTAAAATATAATATAATCTTATATAAGCAATTTACCAGGATTTTTTTTTTATTTTTATTTTACCATTCCATCATTTTTTTTTTTAATTTTTATTTTTTTTTTAATTTTTTAGTTTTTTATTTTTTTTTTATTTTTATTTTTATTTTTATATCCAATTATCCGTTTTTAAAAAGACAACTATAGAAATGAAACTCCTATCAATATTATTATTGGTTTTGGCCATCAAAACCATCTCATCACAATTTGTTGACAATTTAAAAATTTACAAATGTAGTGAAAGTGGTGGTTCTGTCAGCTGGAGCAATGCAACCACAGTTACCGATTTCGAAGTTACATCCAATATGGGTTTAGCAATTCAACAAACTTTTGCATCAATTTGCTACGATGACGAATATTTACGTATCAAAGCCAACTGTATCGATAATAATATTATCTCACCATACAATCAATGTAACCAAGATTTATTCGATGCTGATGTTTTTGAAATCTTTTTAGCCTACACCGATGCAAACTCTGTCGCTGTAAATTACCTTGAAGTCGAGTTATCACCATATGGTGTATTATTTGTCTCATCCGTTTATAACCCAAATGATGCATGTGTTGGTATTCAAGATAATCTTGTAGATTGTGACCAAAGTGGTATTATTTACGAAGCTGGTCCAGTTACCTCTGGTTGGAGTGGTGAATTATCAATTCCATTTTCATTAATTCAAAAAGCCTCAGGAAATCCAAGTGGTTCAAACAATGTCTATAAACTCAATATGTTCCGTATTGACGTTCCACAATATGGCTACAAAGAGTATTCATGTTATCATGCCGATAACACCAACCCACCTTGCTTCCATGTTCCATCTTACTTTGGTGCCTTAAGTCTCAACTAAAACCATATCTTGTTAATCATTATAAAAACTCTTAATTCTTTTTTTTTATTAAATTTAGAATTTTGTTGATTTATAAAATAAAAATAATAAAAAAATAGTAAAATAAAATTTGTTGTAAAAACAATTAAAATATTATATAATAAAAAAAAAACTCCGTTAGCCATCCAATCAATTAAAAAATCTATCATAAATTTAGCTTATAGATTTTTTTCAATCACTTTTTTTTGGGTTTTTCTTTGAAAGGAATCCATGGATTTTTTAAATTATGACACCCATTTTTTTAAACATTAATAGCCATAATTTAATTATAATAAAAAAAGTTTTAAAATGATATTATAATCAGATACTACATATAAAAAATATAATTATTTATTTTAAATTTTTTTTTTTTATTTTTTTTTTATTTTTTTTTGTATTTATTTTATTTTAATAATAATACTATTAATAGGTTGTATTTTTAATAACCTATATAATTTTTGAAGGTTTTGTTTGTTGTTATAATACTAATGACATGAGGGTTGAGTGTGGATGATGAATGTTAATTCTTTTTTTTTTTTTTTGTTTTTTTGTTTTTTTTAAATTATTATTATTTTGGGTGGAGGTGCTGGTGAAAATAGAAAAAAAAAATAGAAAACTGTTGAGAGAAATTTGACAAATTTATAATAAAGCACATTTTGACCCGCTTTTATCTTTCTTTGATGGGCCAACTGGGTTTTTACGATTGATTTGACGAATTAAATTGTAGAAAATTTGTTCAACATTAACTTTGTTTTTGGCAGAGGCTTCTAAAAAGTAACATTCACCAAATTTACGAGCGAGTTCTTCACCTTGTTCAGTACTGATAACTCTTTGGTCGTGGAGATCACATTTATTACCAACAAGAACCATTGGGACATCTTCACAATCTTTGACTCTAAGAATTTGTTCACGGAGATCTGGTAATTCATTAAAGGTGGAATTTGAAATAATACTATATACAAGAACAAAACCTTGACCATTTTTCATGTAAAGATCTCTCATGGCAGTAAATTGTTCGGTACCAGCTAAATTTTTATTTTAAAATAAAAAAAGAATTAGTATTTGTTTTTAAATTATATAAATAAATATTTTTATTGATAAAAAAAAAAAAAAAAAATAAAAATAAAAATATTTTATGAAAAGGCTTTTTGTCGTCTTGTAATATGAAAAGAATGTATATTTACCTGTATCTAAAATTTCTAACATGCATTGATTACCATCAACTTCTACTTGTTTTCTGTATGAATCTTCAATAGTTGGGTCGTATTTTTCAACGAAAATACCTTGAACAAATTGTACAGTAAGTGCTGATTTACCAACACCACCTGAACCTAAAACTACGATTTTGAATTCTCTTAAAGGCATTTTATATTTTTATTTATATATATTATGTGTATGTATATTAAAATTT